AGAATTGTGGCCACAATTGCTATAAAGAGTGAAACACTAAGAAATATGGTTAAAGTATTTTGTCGGCAGCGATCACGAATGGGAACCGCCATTGATTCCGTATTCAACAGCCTTACCACTAATTAGTCAAATATTTAGCATTTGTTTTGTTTTCATATTCAGTAGAATAGAAATCAAATCTTTTTGTAGCTATGGTTATGCAGTACATGAAACTTGGATATTATGTGAGAATATATTAATATGCAAAACAATACTTGTAATGTTAGTTATCCAATAATATATTACAAAAGTTATTAAAAAATAAAACAAAAGCAATATAAAGTAAATTCATTTTAATAAAAGTCCTATTTTAAATGTTTTTTCAATAACTTATTATTAGAGACTTCTAAAACACATAAACAAATATTTTTAGCGGTAAGAGGTATGAACCCAGAGATCAGATATCTATACGAATCATGTAATAAGAGTTTTTTTGTGAGAAAAAAATTTCAAAATCAATAATTTTGAGGTATAATTGAAATCAAAAGACAATAATTTTTAAAATTATTCTTAAAAAATAATAAACTGAATAAAAGTAGAATAAAAATCACTATTAATCTATTAAGATTTCACAGGAGGGTTAAAATTACATAAAATTACCAATATTAAACTTCCTCATATTTTTTGGGACATAATTTAATATAAAGAATATTATATTTTAACCGCATTTAAGGTTCAATGTTATTGTAAATCTAATTAATTATTGTTTTGAAAATGATAATAATGTATATTTTTCTTATTAATTGAAGGAATATTAAGAATTTAAAACACATATTTTCACATATTTTGACAATTTTAAGCACATATTCTGGAAGACTCTACTTATTATTATATCAGATAAAGAGTTATATTGTCTTATAATTATTTAGAGTTTAGAGTTTAAAAGAGTTTTCATTCATATCAAATGAATGGACAAAATATTGGGTTTAAAGTGATTTTTATTTAATTTTCAAATAAAGAGATAATTTTGAAATGAAATCTTTGGTGACATTCTTGAGGACTCTTAACATCCGTCTTCATCTCCAGAGTGGTGTCGACTGCCTGCCGCAAAGGAAGAAGGCGGCGGTCTTACCCTTGCTGAAGCTCTGGAGAAAGCCGGAAAGGAAGGTGAGGAAGCGGCTGCAAAAGAAGGCGTGCTGAGCAGCAGGGGAGGAAAGCTACTGGAGAATCGCCGACATTTCGACTCCAAGACCTCTCCACCGGATCTCATCGGTGGTGCGGATGACTGCTCTTCCGACTCAATTGAATTCATTTGAAGATTTTGCAAACGATTTGATTCAATAGAAACAGAAACTAATTTGAAATGAATTCTCAATAATCACTGCTTTTTATACTGTTTTTGAAGCAAACAATTGATGAAAAACGCGAGAAATCGAAATTCAATTGAATTGAATCACAATTAGTGTGAAAACCGCGTGAATTGTTGTATTGAAATCACAATTAGAATCAAAGTTTGGATTTCAAACAATTATTTCTATTAGAAAACGGTTTAATTCACTGATAGATAGCATTCAAACAGTTTCTAGAATTTGTGTCAAACATACCTTTCCATACCTTTCCACTCAAACATTACACACAAATCGCTACTAAACTCCGGTTCCGAAAGCAATGAAAGCTTTATCACACACTCCGATGCTGTTGGTATGTCTAGTATTGTGGGCCAGGGATGTGCTGGTGGTGAAGGCCGTGCCCTCAGAGTACGGTACGTTTGAGTGCACTGAACAAAACAACCACAAAGTGCGTCGGGAGCTCGACTACACCCAACCCTGTCGTAACACCCGATGGGACCCGAGTCGACAGTACGCCGAGTCAAAGGAGGCCTGTTGTCGGGACTTCGAGCACAGCTGTCTCGCACAGAAAATTGTAAATATTGTCTTCAATGCCATTGCAATCACTTAAACCACACCATCAAGAGGTGACTCAATACCTGTCCATACCATTCACATACCCGTCCCCTCTCTTACAGTTCACAAAGTATTGCAAACCAGTGAAAAAGTCTGAATTCATTGATTACAATGAAAAACTGGTGAAAAGCTGTCGCAAAGCGTTTGGCATAAGTCTGAGTATCCCTTTGTGTACGCCATTGGCCTCAAAAAAGGTGCTGAACCCGGACTGCGCCGACTACTTCCCGTGCGATATCAAGAAAAACACACCCCTTCCGCTCTTTCTCCAGCTGAAACCGCGTGGCCCGCCACGTATGCTGGGGATGGGGTGCCTAAAGCCGGACCTTAGAAACGCAGACCAAACACAATCACGTAATGACACACCCGTCGGAAATGCTGCAACGAAGGCGCCGCCACTGGACCCGAAACCTGCAGCCCATACCGGCAGTGCTGTACCCATGCATATATCGGTGGCGATGACAGTAATGTCTATACTGACTGTCCTTTTGGTTTAAATTATTTGAATTTTAGAAGAATTTATTTTCAAAATGTTTTCAATTTGTTTTTAACTTTCATTTCTGTATTTATTTCCAAATTATATTACATTTCACATGAAATACTCAAATATTTTTGTAATACAAAATCAATTCTTATATAAGTATTGTATCCAGGCTGTTTCCCAGAGGGTCTGTTTTTTCGTTATAGCTTCAATACAACAGTAAATTACATTAAAACTTTTAATTCAAGATTATTTAAAATCTCTGCTTTTTATTTAAATTTGAATGAAAATAATGATGAAAAGCGACAGAAATAGAGATTCAATTGAATTCAATGTAAAAGTTTTACACAAGAATCTGATGGCAACACAACTATTGCCACAATTCACGCGATTTTAACATTTATTATGATTTAATGTTTGAGTTTGAATTGAATGCAAATAACGTTTTCTTTCATTCAATTCAAAGATTATCTGAAGTTTGAGGCGATTATCAGAGTATAGCTGAAGACATGAGTGATCTGGACATTTCTATTATAGTGTTGGTAGTAATGGCCGTAATATTGGTGTTGATTATAATTGCTTACGCGGTCTACACAATCAAATTCAGTAATAAATCCAAACCCAAAAAGCGAGTGACTACCGGTGCAAAGGCGATGTCAGTCCCCAAACCGGGTAGTCTGACCATCGGATCCTTTGACCAGAGCGCAGTTACCCGACAGAGCACTGAGGAGTTCCTTCCCGGCCCGGGAGATAATAAAGTCCAGAGTACTATACCAGACCCCGTCTGACCGGTTACTCGCTTCTGAAAGTCACACAAAAATTTGCTTTTTATATAAATTTTGTTTTATTTTGCCATAAAATCTCTAAACTTAAAAATATGTCAATTTCTAAATAGAAACTAAATTAATATGAATTCAATTCTTAAAGTATTGTAAATAAAGCATATCTTTATTGCAAATTAAAAAACATAATTTATTTCACAAAATAAACTAAAAATGGCTTGTAAATTGTAATTCAATGGCTGATTGTAAAAATAAGAAATATTGTAAAATATAGAGAAAATAAGAATAAATTATTAGAAATAAAGTCTTGTTATAAATAGATTGTAATTTTGTAAACGTTTCATTATATTAGGGTAACTTTTATCACAATTCGTCTCGAATTATATTCTGTAAAAGTATAAAATATTAATTAGAATACAAATAAAAATAATATTAACAAAAAGACTTACTTCTTGTGAACTATCGGATAAGAAATTCTCAACAAAAGGCACGATATCTTTGGCACCGAAGCCCTCGACGGGTATGCCTTTTGCCGATTTAGCGGATTTATCGTATAATTTAAGTGTCGGGTAAGCATTTACAGCCGCTTCTCTACACAAGTGTCCCAATGTCTGACAGTTTACTTTACCTGTCTTTACCTTCCCTTTTAGTTTCTAGAGTTCAATTCAATTCAAAATTTGTCACAATTTATCAATCAATGAGTTATAAGATTGATTTTTATAAGGTTTGGAAACTTTACTGAAGTTTAAGACCACGTTTTATCCACGTCACTCTCGTGGTCCCCCACATCTTCAGATACTCGGTATGTCAGAATCTAAATTAGTTGAAGAACTTGTATAGCTCGCTATCGACCTCTTTGACAGAACTGGTAATGAAATTATAGGCCCAAACTCGTAGGGACTCCGCGTCCCTATTATTCCCATTAAATAGACTAAAAATTCATATAAAAAAATAAATATTTGAATTAAAGACCAAACATTCAAATACTGACTGAAACTTTTGATCTTTAGAGTAATGTTTGCTATCTTTGTACGGATATAAGCGAATGGTTGGGTAGGATCTGACGCCCAAATCGCTACAAAACTGTGAGTACGCCTGACAGTCAACGGAGCCCACCATCACATTGGGCTCGTCTTTAAGTAATTTCGCTAATTTAGTCCATTGAGGGGCCAGTCGTTGACAGGGTCCACACCACGGCGCGAAGAAGTCCACTAACCATAGAGTCGTCGTCTTCTTCTTGTCCACCATTTCCTTAAACGTCTCGGGAGTCAAATGAGTGACCGATGGAAACAAAGTCTCCTAAAAATTATACAATTTGGTTGAGACACAAAACAATATCATTTTGTTTGTGAATTACATGAATAAAATCAATCAAATCGTGTTCTGAATGCGAGCCATGAAACTGATGGGCAACCGATGAGTTGTACAGAAGGACTGTCGGGTAAGATCTGATGTTATACTGGAATCCAAGTCAAGAAATACCGATGAGTTTAAAACAAATTCAAAATCATAAGAAAATATTTGTCTCACTTTTCTACACATCGATGAATGAACCGTACAGTCAATGGTCCCGAAGTTAACCAAATGATTAGCACTTCGCGACGCCTTTCGGATTTCTGGCATTAGTTTCATACACGGCGGACACCACTGTATCAATAGATTAATACTGTTACTACCGGTATATTACTGTATAAGGTAGCAAATCATTAAACCTACCGGTGCAAAGAAGTCAACAAACCATGGCTTGCCAGTGGGAACGGGGTTTGTGACCTTATCTTCAAAAATATTTGGATCTAATGTCNTGAATATGTGTTTGGCTTCGACTGATTGGTCGGCGCCGACGATTTCAGCATAATTTTGAGGATCTCCTCTAATGTCTTGAAATAACGCCACTTTTGATTCAGTGATACCAAAGCGATCGCAAACCACTTTATCACTGCTATCACAGTATACTTGTGCGATGTTTACCACATTCTCCAACATTATTGCCACCATCTTCTGGGTGTCAGAGAATATGCAATCTATTCGTCAAAACCAAAAAAATTAATTAAAGTAATGATAAGTTTTGTTTAAATCAATAATACCCTTATTGTCGACACAAACACTTAAGAGCCACCACTGAGTTGATGACTGAGTTGTTTGTATATAATTTGTGCGCTCATTAGACTCGGAAGAATGCAAATGAAATGAATCCAAATTGAGTTTATCAATAGTGATCATCTGTGGCCGCAACTGATTCAACACATACTCAACCATCGATTCCGTGTCTCGTTTCCCTTCGTATTTCTCATACTTTTAAATAACAAAAATATAAAATCAGTCGTAAAACCACAAAATATCTCCAAAAAAAGTCTTAAGACTCACATTAGGATAGAAAATAAGTGATGGATAGGAGCGGACATTCTGTTGGCGACACAACACCCAGTCCTCCTCGCAATTGACGGCACCGATTAAAACCACAAAATATCTCCAAAAAAAGTCTTAAGACTCACATTAGGATAGAAAATAAGTGATGGATAGGAGCGGACATTCTGTTGGCGACACAACACCCAGTCCTCCTCGCAATTGACGGCACCGATACGTATAACAGAATCCAATTCTTTGGCTAATTTGCGCCAATCGGGCGCCAAGTGGTGACAGTGCGAGCATTGAGGGGAGTAGTAGTTTATGAACCAAACGTATGGGCTATTAGTGACCGACTGCTCGAAGTCGCTCTTCGACAGAGTGATGATCTCCTCGTCGTTATCATATATACCGAAGTCTTCGTTGTAGTACTTCCACGAGTGGTACTGCGGTCTACCGGTGCCCTCGTCTTTGAGGCCGTCCTCGCCATACATGTCGTACTTCTTACGCATTTCGTCGTCCTTTTCATACAAAACACGTGATATTTATCTCAATTCAAAGACTGGACACAAGTTTATGAATGGTTTATGGGATCAGATGCCATACTTTAAGCACTTCATATGCGCGGGTGATCTTCAGGAAGTTGTCGTGAGCTTTGGGATCATTCTGTAGACAATATATAGAAATAAAATTAATACTCAAATCAATTATCTCAAAGTGACCAAGACTCAATTACTTGACATCATATGATGTGTTAACTAAATGACAAATGCATTAAACTTTTTAATTTAAAAGTCAATCAATACTTGAAAACTTTTTAAAAGTCTATCAAATAGTACACTGTATGCCACACCCCCTCACCCATAGCTATAGTGTTTATCTACGGGGGGTTAAACCCCGGCAACTCATTGTTAAGTAAATTAAACTAAACTTATTTCTAATGAAACTAAAGTATGAGTCAATCAAATGATATCAAGTAATGGCAAAATGTCTTCAGCGGTGATAATAACCGGGTTTTTGTCGGGATGTCTGGTGAGCGCCAACTGTTTGAAGGCTTTCCTAATGAGCCGATTGTCCGCATCCCTCGTAATGCCCAACAATTGGTAATAGTCTTCACCATTTGGTTGATCCGCACACAAGACACCATTCAATGGGTGATTAAAAATGAATAAAACTATAAAACTTTCACTGAATATACAAAATGTCAATATATGTGACAACAAGTGGTGACAAATCGTGTATTTCATGATTAGATGCGGTATTTATTATGCGATAAATACTTTTAACTCACTATTGATTGCATTTGTGATACAAATGAAGTGTTAATTCAATGATTTGTCGCACATTTGGGCGCCGATCGCACTGTCAATGCATTTGTCTATTGTTTACACAAAACATGTGTTCAAAAACCTCTCAACCCTTTGGCTCAACACATAGTTGACGTCATTGAGTGCACCAATCGCTGGAGAGATCGTGTCTTAAGAAAAGTGGTTCAAAGACTATTGGATCCACTGGTGGGTTGCCTATGAGCCCATCATCCTGGTCACTTTACTCTTGCATCACTCGACAGTTGATTTATGTTTTATTATGCTTTATATGATTTTATTATATAATTAATTTAATTTAATTAGATTATAATGATTGCACTTTTTGTTTGTCAAGATTTGTTACATAGGAAACTCATAGGAAACCCTAATTCCTTTGCAACCACTCATTCACATCCCAATCTCTATCCATTTCTTATTATAATTTACTTCATTATAATCAACTCAATTGTATTGAATTGTTTGACTAAAGGAAATATAAGTGAAATATTTTTATATAAATATAAATTTAGCTCACATTCTACCGCACTTTATCATTACCTACAGAATATTCCTATATTTAAATATTTACTATTATGTACAGAATTTTTAGAATTAAAGTTTAAATTAAAATTTTTTAAATGTAAAAATTATATTGATTTTAAGGGAATACTGTATAATATTTTTAAAAACTTATGTTACATTTCACACATCAATATATAAATATTGTATAGGTAGTTTATAAATAGTCTTATTTATCAAAGTTTACTGTAAATCATCAACGATTTTATGATATTAATCTAATTTCTAACAAACTTATACTGAAAAGCATTATTTTTAATGTCAGTCAATGTGATATTATGAGATATATTTTGCTATGAATTGTGACAATAATTTAAAAATATAAAGAGAAATATTCTGTTGTCACGGAATATATGAGATTTTGTCCTAAAATGTTGTTATTATGTCTTAAATGAAATTTTCTGTTTATATAATTTTTAAAAGTGCATTAAATGTAGAAAATGAAGCAATTATCGGTTTTTATGATAATTAAGGTTTCATTGAATGGCAGTAAGTATTGTGTTTAATTCAAACTACATTTAAATGTAAATACTGTATCATAAGAACATGTGTCCGTAAAAACATATTCATAAATAAAATCTTTATTTTGCTTTTTAAATAGATTTTTTCAATACTGAATTATAATATTGTTCAATTTTAACACTAATTGCCACTTATTAAGTGCATTCTTAATTACATTGATTACAAAACATTTTTATTACTTTTACTAAAATTATATACCATTATAACCTTGCAATAAAAGTTAAATAACCAAACTCTAATGAAGTTTAACTTATTTGAAAGTAGATTCTATGGTGACCACAATACAAGTTACTTAAGATTTGTTTCATTGCCTTTTGAGAAATATTTGTTGGAATCGATTCCAGAAATGTCTTCAGAAGAGCACGAAGTGAACGAAACGATTGCTTTGAACCGAAGATTGCCATCAGAGGAGACACTTAACTATGATTTGGCGTTCAAAGTATGTTCACTGTTTGATGGGGTGATCCCCTACGAGAATAACCGCAAAACTAGTCATATATTCCGGAGGTATAACAAGATTGTACTGACATTCCTGTTGTCAAACGTATTTCGGACAGTAATCGAGTGCTTTATACCCGCGAGCTATACCCGATATTTCCTATATTTGGGTGACTTTAAGCCGTGGTGGGGAAAGCCATACATTGCACATCAGGTGGTATTTTTGGCGGCAGTTATTCTGGTGCCGGCCTACTGTTCCGTCAACATGTTTGCCGATAAAAGGCTTAAGAGCTGGTGTTTGCCATTCAAGTATATCCAGGGACTCATTACCGCCGAAGAAGCCAAACTTAGTAACAAAACTCACATCAAAAGACTGAGGGATAAGATGAAAGTGACGTATAAGAGGGGTATAATGTCAACCATCAGTGTCCACATCCCGTACTCTATTTGCGTATTCGTGTCATTCCTATTGAATTGCGAGACGTGGTATGATTTGATGCTGTTTGGCGTACCCTGGACTCTGTATGAGATGATCTGGACCTTTTATATCACTTCTAATATGGGACTATTGCCCGGCTCTCTCGATATTGTCTGCTATTATCTTAAGCTAAGGTACGAAGAAATTGACGAACACTTGGAAATACTACATAAAAACTACAGCTATTTGTCGGAAAAGAGTTCATTGAAGGAAATGAATTCATTTGTGATTGAAGTCCGGAGACAATTGGATGTAATTATGGCAGAATTAGACGATACAAATGCCGATGTTTTGCACTATAACGAGTATTGGAGTAAATATATAACAATCTGTTTTTGTTCATATATCCCACAATTACTCTTTGAATTCTATGTATTCCTATTTCTGCCCATAAATCCCACTGTTTTGGTATTCTCTCTGTTATTAAACTTCAATATGTTTGCATTGATTACACAATTGTCACTGTTTTCCGCTATTCTTCATAAAAGGGTTAGTAGTTTGCTAATTGTCATAACTCTAGAAAAATGTTTAAATTATATCATTTTATAGGCGAATAAAGTTTATATAAAACTCAACTCAACAGCCATTCAATTGAGCAAAACTATGAACTTAATGAAAGTAAAGCAAATTCAAACTTTGAAGCAAAGGATGAAGATTTCCAGTTTCATTGAACGCTATTCCAGTCAAATATACATTGGTTTCTATATCTTAAGCATTAGATTAATTGATTTTGAATTCTACTATCATTTAGTAGTCGAAGGGATTCTGTATTTTCTACTCATTTGTGGTCTCTTACAGACTTAGTGTTAACTAATAAGTCATAAATTCTTTGTTTTATTCACATTTTCATCTGTTAATAGTAAGCAATAAACGATCTGTAAATTAATGAATATTTTTATTGAATTGCTGTTAAATTTAGTGAATACTGATGAAGACTACAAAACTTTTTTTAAATGTTATAAAAATTGAGAACATTTTAACATTAGGTTAGGATTTGGGATCAAACGTCGCATCTAATGATCGTTTTGTTATTGCCGTTAAATTTAGTGAATACTGATGAAGACTACAAAAACTTTTTTAAAATGTTATAAAAATTGAGAACATTTTAACATTAGGTTAGGATTTGGGATCAAACGTCGCATCTAATGATCGTTTTGTCGACAATAGTTTGAGATCCGGTGGGGAATCGACTGAAGTCTCCCCTCTCGAAACACGTGAAGAGGTGTCGGCGCAAGAGGTCGGCCTTATTGGAGAAGAGTATGTCCGCCGGCTCTCCGCCCGAACACAAGACGTGTGCGAAAGCGATGGCATAGAGACCGCATTGATGGGCGTCTTCTTGTTGAGTACAGTACGGGATCTTAAGGTTAATATTCTTTGATTTCATGAGTTTTTGGACCGCAATCTTCGTATTCAAGTCGTAAGACTTGGCGTCACAACAACTGCTGTCATACATAAAGAGCTCATTGTTTTTATCGGCACTCCTGGCGTTTGATAGGACTAACCAATGATCTCCCGAGTCGTTAATGATCTGAACAAAAGTCTGATTCTCCTCAATGGCCACAAACTCGTGGATTTCATTGAGTAAAACATTTTGTAAGCCTTTAATCTCTGGGAACTGTTTCTGGAGCAGGAATTGGGCCGAATTAATGACAGTGTCTGTCAACCACTCGTCGTCCGCTTGGATCACGTATTTGTCAAACTCCGTGAGGATATAGTCACCGCATTTGATCCACTCTTTATGATCATTGTCTGTGTTTCTCTTTGTTTTATTCTTTGACTTATTCTTAGTCTTAGTGTCTTTTGTCTTGTGTTTATCGCCTTCAGGACTCTTCTCTTTTTGATCACTTTTTTGTTTCACTGTTTCACTCGATTTGGGCGAAGATTCTGTCAATTCATTTGACTTATAGTAAACTGTTTGCACTTTAAGATCAATTACAATACCTGGGGATGTCTTAGTATTTGGTTTATTTGGTTCACCCTTTGATTGATTCGTCAAATCCTTGTTTTCAGACATTTTTAGTGATAATCTTATAACCGATTTTCAAAATGATAATTAAAAATTTAAATATTATGTGATATCTCGAGATAAATACCAATAAAACGCAAATCCGTTATATTATTGAATGTTTGCTATAAAATTTATAAATCAAACTAATTGTCTAATTGTTCATCAAATTGTCTGCCAATGAATCCATTCGTTAAAATCTCAGTCATCTTAAAGAAGTTAATTATAACCGTTAGTGTCCTCTCAGTACTACTAGTTTTGTTAAGTTTTATGAATTTCATTCGCCATTACCTATTGGCCCACAAAAGCCAACTGACTCTCGAAGACAATTGTATCTTATGTGTCGAATCCATGGCTTTGATTGTAGTAATAGTACGGCTCCGGTATGATATCCATTACCTCTCGACGGATCGCAAAGCCATAAACTTCTCATACAATCTCAACACTTACTTAGCATTAGTTATATTGGAGGCAATGCTCATCACGAGAATGATATTCATTGAGTGTAAGAGTTTGTCACTTAAATCCTAAATTCATTTGATTACCATTTTCTCAATTAACATAAAAATCTGTAGACTTAACGCTGACATCGATTTTGGTGACTATTATATCTATTGTCAGAATCTTAACTCATGTGTTGATATTATTTGCCATCACAAGTGCCAAATGGGACTCAGATTTGGTTTCTTTGCAAACAAAGTAATTCATAGAATTAAAGATAAATTAAATTAAATTACTTTAAAAATATTGACTATAATTAAAAATTCAATTCAATAAACTTTTAGAAATAAAACAGAAGTAATTAAAAAATTTATTTTTATTCATATTATTAATCATTAACCTAATTATAATATGAATTACAAATTCATTATAAGTTATAATGAAATTAAGTTAAAAGTAGAATATTTCACATTATATTCACATTATTGTACAATTCGTTCATAAAAAGACTAATTTTGGTTAATATGTTATAATATTTTTACGAAGTATTGGCTTTTGATATAATAGTTAATTAATTGGGCAAAACTTTATAAATAGGTTATACAGTAGTACTTAATTGAAATTAAACCATTGTCTGAAAGTAATTGTTTGTGACATAAAGTATAGTTGAGTATACAAATTGTTAGAAAATATAAAACACAAAAAGGTCTCATAAAACTTATAATCACTTATGAAATACATGTAAATAAATTATAAGCTGATAAAAGTGTAAATGAAATACAATTCACTCATTCGCTATTAAATAAATGGTAAAAAGGCTTAAATATATCCAAAATTAAATTAATTAATGGCGTATTACCACAGATTCAACTACCAAACTTTATATCCTTTTAGTTTTTGCTAAATTTTTTGCGTTTTTAACAGCAGAAAATTCCAAACATAAGTAACTGATTTGATACTTAAAAATGTTTAGTTCTCTACGTCTAAATGTAATGAAATTGTTTTTAATGCAAATCACAGATAATAATATGAATTAGGAGTCAAAATAACTTATAATTGTGTTATAATTATAAATATTAAGTTATACTAAATTTTAAGAGCTAAATGTATTTTAGTCTGATATTCATATTTTTAGTACCAGTAAATACTATCAAAAAATTAAACCCTATGTATGTTTCGTAAATTCATTAAAACAATAGCTTTTTGTAGACTTTAATGCATTCATCATATTTTGAGACAAAAATGATTTCTATTTATCTCGCAAAACAGTCATTCAATTTGAATTCAATTTTGAGACAATAAATAATAGGATAATTGTATTATAACTACAATTAAACAAAAATATTTGTAATGACTTTCTGTCATAAAATTAGAAAATATTTAATTTACTTATAATTTTGAGTGATTTGTCACATAATGAGAGACTAATAGTGAGAGAAAAATAGAAATCATTTTTTGGAGAACGACTTCAAGAGTTTGATTGGTCGGAGTCGGGAGCGGGTGAGCCGTCCTACAGCTAACTGTTTGAGACTTCGGGTGAAACTCATACGCATTAAGTGCTCTTTGGAGACGAGGGGTCGGGTCCACAGGGAAGACCTTAAGTGTTTAGATGGGGGCGAGTAGTCGGACGAACACTTGCGTTTCACACCACGACTGGCCAGCAGTGTCTGTCGCACTTTCGCACCGTTACTGTCAATACTTATACGCCTTAAGAGACGACTGTGTCGTAGAATTGATCTCTTTTTACGATCACCACTAATAGTGTCATCACTTTTGATCTCATTATTGCTTTGAGAGAAAACTTTAGATAACTTTTGAAAGGCGTTATCATTAGGATTATGGGTCGCATTACTGAGAGCACCGAAAATGCATAAACTGTTGGACCCATGGATGTTGTCACCCATGGATGACGTGTTCCTATCGTTCAATGAGATGAGCGGCGAGTAGTTGACGCCGACGACCGGCGAGTGATTGTCCACTAAACTCAATGGCAGTGACGTTCGGGGTTTGATGGAAGTCATCTGATAGTAACTACTGCTCTCTGACCAGTAATTGTCTGTAGGAGTCAACACACAATCCGATCCATTCATACCATTCATAATACCATTTGGTGTCTGCGAGTGGTGTCTAAGAAAACCGGTTTTGCTATAAATGTAATTATTTAGAGACGTATTCTCTTCGATAACTTTGTTGATGTTAGCCAACGACGACTGGCCAGACATTAGGCAACTGTTCTCCTCGCCGCTGATGGACACGGCGTTCAGGTCTGTGGAGTTGACACTCAAGTTCTTGGGATCGATTACGACATGTAATTCCCATTCGTTTTGCGAGAGATTCACCAGAGATGGGAGGGCCGCGTATTCCTCTTCGGTGAGCTCATCGCTGGCACTGATCACAGTTGGCGTCGGCGGGGATGACGTCCCGCTGTCTCGCGACGACTCATTACTTTGGCTGTCGTTGTCGTCGATATTAGTCGTCGTCTCAATTGTTTGTGGATTTGAATTGGAGTTCGAGTTATCGATGGCTTCAAACACATTATTATCGTTGGTTTGAAAATTTGGCGGCAAATTCACTAATGGCGTCAATACAATGGATTGGTTGGTGTCATCACTTTGAGGACAAGTCGATGAGTTGTCTAATTCGGTTGCATTGGAAGAGTCTGTAGTCTCAGGAACTGTCGGAGCAGTTGTTCCCTCCGTTGTCGTCACAACTGTTAAAATGCAAACAAAACGTCAGAAAACTAAACAAATCCTCTCAACAAACGACTCAATCAATACCTGTTGTCGTCGATGAGACTTCAGGCGAAGAAATGGCTGTTTTGTCACTTAATTGGTTATTAATCGGAAATAATTAAAGCAATAATTAGAATAACAACATCTTCAACAATTTCTTCAGCTACGGCAGCTCACGCAGCAGTATCGGCAGTAGTGAGAGAAGGAGAAGCGATAGTGACTTCTCGCGTAAGTATGGCAGGTTTTGATTGTTTTTCATGAGTTCAATGCCCTGATTGTCTTCCAGCATAACGGCTAAGACAGTCGTGTTGTCCGCTCTGAACCTCGACTGATACCATCGATTCAGACAGAAGTGGACCAAAGCTCGTGAAGGGCTGAGTCGTGCGGAGCCGGCGTCAAAGATGGCCTCCAAGAGTTCCGGGCTGTACTGGTCCTCCTCCACCTCCTGCAGCACTTTGACGGCCGTCTGAGTGGTCATCATATTCCACAGACCATCGCTCGCCAACAGTAAGCACTGGTCGTTGGCGTCGATGGGAATGCATTTGAGGTCAGGTTCGGGACTAACGATGAATGTATTGAGTTGTGAGTTAAAGGACCACAAATCACCTGAACGTACGAATGGAAAGCATTTATAAGATCATTTGACACAGATTCACATCATGAGGCATACCTAGAGATCGGGCCACAGCCAGGAACGGGATCTGATCGAAGCTCGTACTGCGCCTAATGGGTCCCTTATGGCCCAACTTCGGTCGGTTCCACTGCTGGGCTAGGTGTGGTCTGAACAAGTAGTGAACAGGCGGCCGTCGGAGATACGCCGCGAAGAGAGCCCCGCTGAGTCCGAACACCAGCGCTCAGTCGCTTGTGCTGTAGGTAAACGGCCTGCGGACGTGTTTGCGGCCCAACACTATCCGGGAGTCGCCGACGTGTCCCGTATAGTACTTGCCGTTCATTATGAACACAACGGACGCTGTCGTACCAGACGTTGATGGAAGACCTGATGCAGTCTTTGGCCAATTCACTGATCCATACCATAAGCGCACGAATTTTGGTGGCAATTAAAAAACAAGAAACTAATTAATCGTTTGATAAAAAGTGATCAAAATCTGGTTCAATGAGGTTTTAATTGCATGTAAAACTAATTGAATGTCACATTAAATTAATATCAGATTTTTCAAACATTTTTTGCATGAAATTCTCAACTTTATGTGATTATAAGTGTTATGCAAATAAGCTGTTTATAAACACAGTATTAGTTATAGCTATATTATCGTTTTTAGCTAATTAACGAAGTAATAAGACTATTGAGAATTTCCTTTACTTAAGGATTTGTTACTTACGTAAGTTTCGATGTCAGGAAAATTCACACATAGCTAATATTATTTTTAGAAGTATAGATTAACGTCTCCAAAAAGCTCTCATAAATAAATTCAAATAAAATATCAGATGACTGTCAAACTAGTAGTGCTCCCAAAGCTATTTAAAAGCCATATATTTTTAACTCATTTTCTTGGAATATAACAAACAAATTGTATTTATATCTCAAATAAGTCTTTCAAACTTCAATTCATGGAAAGACATATTAATACAAAAACTCGTATTAAATGAAATTCCTTTCAAAGCTATTCATCGCAAAGAATTTCGTACGAAAAACAAGAAAACATTTCTTTTGTGTTTGAAAACCATTTCATTTTTAATATGTATTGAGAATTGCATTCATAGTGAACTGATTGAAAAGAGATATGCATTGCTATTACGAAATATATTCACAAAATATGTTAATAAAGTTATTGAAGTGTTTGTCAATAAAAACGAGTGGAGAGAAAAAGTTAGTCAAGACTTTGGAGACTTGAAAAACGTGTTTCAATAATGGGGTCAATAATTTAGAAAGTAGTGAGAGATAGGGGGAAAGGGAGGCTAAACAAACAGTATTGCTTAAGACACTGGTATTGCATGATTCAAAACGACTATTAATTGCCAAACGAGACAAACAATTCAATTGATTATCTAAACAAAAATAGGGAAAAAGAGTCACTTGTTTAATACAAACACAAATATTTGTCATTTCATGTGATAAGCAAATGTTTTTTGTGTAGTGAGCCCTAAACTGGTTGTCCAATCGATTGTCTCATAATTTATATATTAAATAACATTTTGAATGCAATAAAAGTATGATATTTTGCAAAACTTAATGCCATATTAAAGCGTTTGTATGATAATAATGGCATTAATATGGAAGTAATAGTCATAACGACTACAAGAATAGGGAATAGACTTAAGCTTATAGTCTTTGCAAGCATTCAATCGATTGGTTCGTTGCACTCGCTGTCAGGTCTGAGCTTCTCATACACAGACACAGCACTGGTATTACAGCTCCAGAACCTAATTAAAGGGTTCCTATAGTAACCAACTCTAAGGCATTTCTATGGCTTTTTATTACACAGTCTTAGCAAACACTGAACACTCGTGTCATGTATTAAAGCATATTAGAAATGTATTACACTCTCAAACATGTAATCAATATGTGTTAACTGCTTATCATATCTCCATTCAGTTAGCAGACTTTGAAAGGAAAATTCAATTTTATTGTTTCAACAAATCTCTCCACAGTTTTGTAGACTGAAAGCCTGTAATTATGGCATAAATTGCGAACAAACCTCTCACTAAACTGTACGCTCAAACCCATTCATGTCAAGCCTATTACAACACACATAAGCCTTACATAATACATAAATAGCAAAAAAACTTTTCAATCAATAAATGTTATATTAAATAACGAGTTATTTATAGCTATTATTAAATATGTATTACATTTAATTCAATTGCAAAAACTCGACTCCAAATTGAGACAACACTTCGGACAAATGGCAAAACATTAAATCCATGAAACAGTTGATCACAAGTAGAGTGAAACAAAAGACTAATCGCTAGTTATTTGCTCTAAAAATCTGATTTGTATTAATAAAACCATAAATTAAAGCCAACAAAATTCAAATAAAACTTTTTCCCTGAAAAACTCGCGTATATTTTGAGCGTTAAATGCACTTCAAAAGCAAAAAACTTCAAAATTCACAGCAAATGTAAGTCAACGCAAAACAAACAAAACTAATGTATGTATCAAATGAGCGCCAAATTAGAAGTGATGGCTATAACTGCCGTAAACATCACCACATCTCCGCTAAACACCAAAAATATGTTTAAAATTAGTGTTAAAATCATTGGACGTGTTGTTGATTAGGAAAAACAAAACATAAAACCATAAAAACTACGAAACATTGAGAAGACAATTGTGGCGCAAATGACAATACAAATAGCGCTCAAAACCTATCCAAAAAACTTGGCCCAAAACTGTAACACAAAAAGTGAACAAAAAGCCAATAAAAAGCAAAACCCAAACAACCCGTAAGACACGGACAGACACACGGAGGCAGCGGTGGTGTTGCGGAGGGAGTGGGAGGGGACAGGAGTGTGTGTATGGTATGGCTACTCACAGACTTCTTTGCGCATATCGTAATGCGTTTGAATGAAGCCCTTGTGGATGGCTTTGAGGACGTGGTCATCAGTGGACGACCAGAAACCTCGCTGACGGATAATGTTGTGACACAAGTGGTGTTTGGCGTACTTCGCGGCCACATCACCGCCGTGTCCGTCAAAGATACCCAAATAGATGTACTGGAGCTCATTGTCGCCATTAAACTGGTACTTGAGGTCGTAGTTATCCTCCATATACTTGCGACCGCCCTGACTGCACGAGGCGTACACCCGGAGCCCGATGGGCACCGACACCCCCGTCGGTGGTGGTGGTGATGGTGCTGATGGTGGTGCTGATGGGAGACACTCGACCACCGGCTCTGACATGGCTATGGCTGTTGCGGGCACTGCTGATGGGCGCTGTGGTTGCACTGGTAATGGATGAGAATGTGGTGGTGATAGTGGTGGTGCTGTGGATGAAGTGGTGGATCAACTCAATGGGTGATTGAAATGGTGGCCCATTTGGCGCACAAACAGTGCCTCACAATCGACGCCATATTCAGTACTGACACGAGATTTGCTCACAACGCCAACATCCACTCAATACACACATTGTGTGCCATTGTGTGCACCCATTGTATGGCGTGTATGTAACCAGTGCTCCCATTGGCTGCTCGCCAGGGCTTCAGTCGTCGCTTTTATAACGCGGGCTGTGATTGGATGACAACTGTTTGCCGCTCTGTTGCTTAAACAGCCGTACGATTGTAGGATTCAATGGCTCTTTCATATGACTTTGTGGGGACGCTATTGACACCTATTGTCGCAAATGTTAACTCACTTTGAATTAGTTTTGCAAAAGTTTTGTGCCAATGGCTTGATTACCCTGGTTCATATAACCATAAGCATGGTTTAGATTCTAAACTTTAAATATATTTTATTTGTTCAAGTGATAGTTACTTATGTTGGCTGCTTATACAATAGGCTACCGGTGCCATTATGGTTTAATTTAATTTAGATTAAAATAATGCAAAACTTATTTGAATTGTTTGAAACTCTATCAATAACTTGAACACTTTAACTTCAAAACTCTATTCAATTTAATTGTCTTCAATGGATTCACTAATGGGAACTTACATTTAGATTATTTGATAAAGATCTCAAAATAAAATGCTTTTAAATGAAAACTTTTTAATTAAATCACAAGAAATGATATTAAATTACTTTCAATGCATTGCATAGAAATACATAATTAAAGGAATGGAAGTCATAATAAAGTGACTGCGAAAACCGAGTCATGAAATTGTCATTCATTTATGTATTGGTTTTACTCATATTATGTTTGACACCAATTGATAGCTTCTGGAGTAAGAAGAAGAAGCCGACGAAGTCTATTGATTTGAGTGATACGCCTGTGATTGAGGTCATGGAGGAGGAACCGAGCAAAGGGATGGTGGAAAGCCTGTTCGACACCTCCATCTCTTTCATGGAGAAGTTGAGGGCTCAGTACACGAAGTACTTCGGAAAGGATGACAGAAAGAAAGTAAGTCTAAGTAAAGCACTCATTAAAGAGCAGTTAAGGGATAAGAGTGAGGACAGGGATGATAGGAATCTACAGCTTATGGGCGACGGTTCTGTGTATACTATGACTGAAGTTATGAAGTCTTTCGACGGCGGAAACACTTTTGAAACGGTGGTTGAGTATCAGGTAAAGTGAATCGTTTGCTTTACTTAACAGTATTAACTATTGATTTATTTGTCTAAACAGGTCTTATCCCTAATAAGTGCTAATATCTGAACATTGAGTTCCTCTTTGCACCCAAACATACAGTCCATCTATTTTTCTATTTACAGAAAAAACAAGAAACTAAAATGAAAAAGGAGTTGGCACAAGTATTACTCCATATCATATCATTCAGCCATTATTTTAAACTTAAAATATTTTTTATATTGTAGGGTATTATGTCTATACATGAAAAAGTTAAAGCAAAAGTTTCAATAATTTATAAATTCAGACAAATATGAAAAGCCTGAAAAGCCTGATGAGCCTGAAAAGTTGAATGAGCCTGATCAAGTTGAATTCAAGCCAGTACACAAACCTAAGCCAAAACAAGATTCTAAACCAAATAAGACAACTACACCCCAACCAAAACCAAAACCCAAACCCAAACCCAAACCCAAACCCAAGCCGACTACTGAAGCATATGACGAGGATGACATACCAGAACCGCATGAAATGGTCACCAGTACATCCTCTCCCATATTGGACTACCCCACTGATAGGGACAAGCCTTACCCCTCAAACAAAGACGGGACATACGGTTTTGTGATTCAGTCATCTCATGGCAAAGATCCAGAGTTTAGTCGAAATCGAGGAAAAGAAGTCAGACATTAATTTTGGGTAAAAATATATATGACAAGTATAAACACATATTTTGCATCTTGCAGATTTATTACTTTAACAAAATCGGGAATAGCTTCAAGTTCTCTGGTCAAATGGTGCCTGTTAAGAATCATCTCATGAAACTTCCACCCGATATTACATCCGTTTTTAGAGGTTATACTAAAATACTAAACTATATATTAATTAATTAATTAATTATTAATGATTATGTGGTGACAATTGTGTGGATTAGGTCCGGACGGTAACTATTATTTCATTCGCGAAGACGCCTATTGTCGACGTCCACTGAATGTGTCGGGCGTTGGATTAGATCCACCCGATTATGTAAGACAACAATATCTGTTACATTGAATGTCATTGAAATACTTACGATTGAAGCCATACTCCAGTGCCCAGAAGGCGGCGATTTGCGAGAGTTATTGGGATGTAATCTACGCTTTTATTCGGCAGAAGTGAACGACTTATGCAATAATCCCCTTCTGGACCACACGGTGTTAGCACCGGATAACAAGACTGTCTGGCTGTTCAGAGGTAAAGATATTTGGCTCCTCCATGATCTGCCCACAAACCCAAGGGCCAGTCCATCCAAATGCAATCTCACGAAGTATTCAATGGACGCGACGACTAAATGGAAAAACTTCAATACAAGAGGCGACGCCTTATTCCTCATCGAGAGTAATGGTATGCTTTCGATAAGGAATGATTTGAAAGACAAAAATATTTCATAAAATTGTTTATCAATTATAAAACAGATAAAAGTAGTCAGGAATTGGTTCTCTTCCATCGACATAAGTATACCGTTTGGGACTTCAAAGGAGGAAACCCTAAATATGAGGACTATATTCAAGAGATGCCAATAAATACATATAAAGCCAAGAAACAAATTTTTACTGAGAAACCAATTATAGCACCGGTGGAGGTGGATAGCCATCGCTCCGGGGATATTGTCTATACATCTGAACACTTCAGGAATTTATGTAATGACCCGAAGATAGACTCCGCGGACTCTAATCTCGACGGCACTAAAGTATATCTCTTTAAAGGAAAGAATTATTATTTGTTAACAGGTTTTCATAAATATTTTTAATTGATATACAGTATGTTTATAATAACCATAAAAATTATGTATACTTTAAGGGCTTAAGGAGAAAGGCTTCGGAAATCTAACAAAATTTGGAAAAACGCAAGATTTATGGCCAGCTTTTGAAGAATTGTCGGCTGCAGTGATGACCTGCAAAGAAGGCAAAAGACGTGGATATACTTATGAATATATGACACATATTAAAAGTAGTCAGGAATTGGTTCTCTTCCATCGACATAAGTATACCGTTTGGGACTTCAAAGGAGGAAACCCTAAATATGAGGACTATATTCAAGAGATGCCAATAAATACATATAAAGCCAAGAAAGAATTTTTTACTGAGAAACCAATTATAGCACCGGTGGAGGTGGATAGCCATCGCTCCGGGGATATTGTCTATACATCTGAACACTTCAGGAATTTATGTAATAACCCGAAGATAGACTCCGCGGACTCTAATCTCGACGGCACTAAAGTATATCTCTTTAAAGGAAAGAATTATTATTTGTTAACAGGTTTTCATAAATATTTTTCATTGATATACAGTATGTTTATAATAACCATAAAAATTATGTATACTTTAAGGGCTTAAGGAGAAAGGGTTCGGAAATCTAACAAAATTTGGAAAAACGCAAGATTTATGGCCAGCTTTTGAAGAATTGTCGGCTGCAGTGATGACCTGCAAAGAAGGCAAAAGACGTGGATATACTTATGAATATATGACACATACATGTAATTAATTATGTATTTATGGCACAAGTTTTCTAATTATATCTTACATTTATAGCAGAAAAGACATCCAAACCTACAACAGAGTTCAAGAGTTGGGACATCGATAAGAATAATGACGTTGAAAATGAAGAGTTTGTTGAGGACACGGCCGTTGTCTTTGAGGCAGCCTTTCATAACCGAAATATAACCGATCCTCAGATGATTGCGCTCAGGGATGAAGAAGTGATTTATTGCTGTCTTTTTAGATTATTAAACATTAATATTAATACTAATTTATGGTAAACAAATTATTTCAAAGGTTTTCTATTATTCAACAGTTGGCGACCTATTTACCCGCAAACGACGGCACGTCAGGTACGACGAGAGCGCCGAGAAGTTGCCCTCAAGAGTGACGGCCGCCTTCTCGATGCCCAACCAAATGTTGTACTTATTTCGGGAAAAGCATTACTG